AGCACTTAAGGTCTTGCCTCAATGTGTCTTAAATTAATTTTGTTTTATTCATTTCCCCACTGTGCATCTGAATGATATGAGAACATAAATAATAAAAACTAACAAAACAAACAAGAAAAAAAAAACTGTGCTAACGTAATACCAAGGCTAATCGCATCTTTCTTGTTCCCTTAATGAGGCAATTGATTTTATCTGACACAAAATTGACTTTGCTTGTTCTTTCTTTATTTTGTTAAAGCAAATTCCACCTTGGTATTAGCTCAGAGGAGAGGCGCTGCCTGCAAATGAGGCTCGGCGGCCGTTTCGCATGCTGCACCCCCGTATTTAAGGGTATTCTTGCAGCGCTTTGTGCAACTGTAATTTAATAATACATACTGTGCTATGTCAATGTAATAATGCTTCAGGCACAAGAAAGCTGACCTCTTAAAAATACATTGGTTCTTGATATGACTAAGACATCTAGCAAACCAAATCATATTAGAAAAAAACAAAACAAAACAAAAAAAAAAACAGTTGGTGTTTCTTATCATGAGTGACATATTTTGTAGCAGATTTATAAAATAAACACAACACTGGGGATGCCCTCATGGTAAGAAGGATAAAAATATTTTTGATAAGGCCATACATTAATAATACCAACTCCAAAAAATGTAAATGCTTCACCTTCTCCTCCAGGCAATGTCATAACACACTATAATCCACATTGAGCGCCTCAAACATATTTCGAGGGCTGGAAGAACCGGGAGTTCTTTGGCGAACACACAATAAAAGGAACAGACGTTAATTGCATTGAAAGTTTATTCAGGTTCAGCAGTTTCTGTATTTCAGCAATCCAACCATAAAAAAAGTAGAAACAATACCACAGCTGCATAATCCCCATTTTCTTTGCCAGAGAAGAGGAAACGGCTTATAAGATTCCAAAGCGAAATGTCTTTCTGTTGCTTTATTAGCGATGCTGGGCTCCAAGCCCTTTAAAGAGCAGGATGATCTGTACAGCAATGAACCTTGGAAAAGGGACTGTATGACTTTCCATCAATTCATATTAAGTGAACACCAGACACTGAAGTCACACAAACCTGGAATCGAGAGTAAAGCTGGAGAAATGGGATTCCCCCGAGGACCGCAGGAGGAACTATTGGCTTTCATTGGGAAAATCTTCAAATCCTGCAGGATGAATACGCATCATGCCCTAATAGCTCAGTCGCCACATTGAAATTGTCACATGTACTGCATCCTGGGTGAGCCTCTACTTTTTCTCCTAAATCTAAAGTTAATGTGTAAAAAACCAAATATAATAAAAGTACAGGAAAACATCCTGTTCTTATCAGAAAAAAAAGGTTTCATGGATCTCAAACTGTGCTTCAAAGAATCTGTGTTTGATTTAAATGCATATAGTTTAGTTTTATTCAGGTTAAATCGCTTCTGTTTTTAACTGGAAATGAACTGTAGAGTTTCCTCTTTAAAAAGAAAAAGGTAGTTTAATCAAAAGCTAAATATTAGACTTCGGATTCAGCAACACTGCAGAAAACTGTTTCTTTTACTGCTTGTGCTGTGGGAAAAACATTTGAATGCTCAAGTCTTCATTGAATAAATATGCAAAAATAGAAATAGAAAAGGTTTTGCACATGTGACAAAAACCTCTATCCCACAGACACCTCATCTCATCTCGCCCTCGGTAGTGAGCTCGTTTGAAAAATCACAGGAAATCGTGTGAATCATCTCCTCTGTAGAAAACTAGAAATGTGAACAAGCAGATTATTTCACAACGGATGCTGAACACATTTGATGGTTTCTATGTCTCACTTTGTGTAATCCCTTTTTTTTCTTTTTAAATGAACATTGTTTGTGCTCAGAAATACTGAAACCTAAAGCTGGCTATCACCTTCACCTCCGTAACTTTCGAAATCACCGTTTTACTTAAGAATTTTATCTTAACTTCATCGCTGCGGCTCGCTTCCTCGTCGCAGGTCGATATTAAATCTCGTCAGATACTTAGATTCTCTGCATCACTCCTCCTCCTCTTCTTCTTCTTCTTCTTCTTTTTTTTGCAGCTTCTCTTCTTTATTGAACCAGACAAGACACAAGCGTATACATGCTTGTCATCTTAAAGGCGACACCGGTTGATTCATTAAGACTCGAAGCTTGCAGGTTTCTCTCCGGCGAACGTGATTGACATGACTGCTGTTCTATTCTGCTGAACGCCCCCGATTCCTCTCCTCCCCTCTCACCTGTCACACAAATCTGTTCACCTTGCTGACATCTCACTAGCTCTCTCTCCGGATCAAAGGATTAAAGGTGAAAAAAGTATAAACACCCACTATCTACGTTTTAGATAGTTTATCCTTAGTTCACCAGCAGTCTGAGCCTGTTCCAGCAGAAATATACATATTAAAAAAGAATAATAATAATAATAAACACCAACAAAACCAAGTGAAACAGTTCTCACCCGTTGATGTAAATTAGTGAGGTTCTTATGCATCCGGTCGGTCAAGACCTCGGACTCTCCTCGTTCCACTTGGAGGTTGACTGAAGACTAACTCAGGTTGGCCAATGCATCCGATCTCCCATCACCCTCGACCTCTCCAACTCGCCAGATCCTGTTCGTGACGCCAAACTGTTGCTGAGTGCATTTAGGATTTAATTAGGAAGTTTACTTTGTAAAAGTGCAAGGAATCGTCTCAATAGTTTGATTGTTGTGCTCCCGTGGCTACATTATGGTGTAATATTTGTTTTTGAGCTGGGTTTCACAAATGTATCAGAGCAAATAAAAACCAATAATCAGAGATTGATTTTAAACTTGGCCAGTTAAACTGTGCTCCCTTTCACAGACTTCAGTATTTAAACACTGTTTGTGATGGTGACGTTCTTAGTAGTAGGGGGTCAGGGAGCCTAAATCATGTTTCTGTCTAAGGCCCCATATTACCTTGGGCCGGCCCTGCATAAAGAGCTAAAGCCGCTGGAATCTACCTGGAATCCCCCGGTGGCCCTTATGCCAGTCCTGTGATGCTTTTGCTTTGACACTTTAACTGCAATAGAGGAAAATTTTCTATAATGTCCATGTTAAATATGTGGCAACCAGAAGCTACCATTAATTAGTTTCACCTGTTTTTAAATGTTTTCTTAAAACTTCTTTCATTCCTGATTTTGATTTTTAAATAGTTTTTAATTATTGGACTTTTTATTTCCTTTGTAGTGTTATTAAAAATGTGATTTTATTTTTAAGATATTAGGATTTTATTATTTGTTAATTGTTGTACTCTCTTACTTCTGTTTCATTATTTTTGTGCACAGCTCTTTGGTCTTGTTGGGGTTTAAAGATCTCTAGAACTAAATCAGGAACAATAACTCCAGTATCAGTATATTTATTTGCGTTGTAAAACAGAAAAGTCTTCTAATCACTGTAGAGAAATACTGAAGAAACAAACTTACATAACACGCATCTCTGTTTGGTGCTGCAGTATGAAATACAAGCCCACTTGTCGGCTTGAAGTAGGAAACTTAAACAACCTTCATGTTGATACACTGAAGATGTGGTGAAATAGGAGGAAATTTGGTTACTGTAGAGAAACATGAGAATCATAAATATGTTCTTCACTTGACCTTTTCTGTAGAGACAGAAATAAAGACTTTAATCTCATAACTGCAATATTTCTCTCATATCGCTGATTATTGGGGCCGGTTGTTGTTGATCCCTCTCCTGCCAGCTGAACATCATCGCCTCTAAAACACAATAAGAATAAAATGTAAAAATACAAGATAATGTAGAAAATTAATTGTTTTGAAAGAACAGAAAATTAAATGCATGAAGGATTTCATCCACTGACACAGGTGTCTATCTCCAGTCCTCAGTGACTGCGTCCTTTACATGCGTCTCTCTGGTCCAACACACCTGAGCTAAACGGGTTCTGGTTCTGCTGGTGGCCTGATTACCTGACTCAGGTGTGCTGAAGCACGACTGGAGGAGTGGAGACAGAAAACCTGAAGTCATGTTTTTGATCAGAGAAACGATTACATTTTAAGAGGATTGTTGCAATTTGGTAGCTGAGCAACCGGGACATTTCTTACTGGTCTCCGAAGCTTCAGCAACATGATGTCATGCTTCAGGCCGCGGTGAGTATAAATCACAGTATTGTGCTGGATCACCTGGTGCTGCTGTTTAGCACTCCGTGGATGAACTTTAAATATTGCTATATTAGTCCTGCAGAAAAGGACAGATTATATTGAACACACAGAAAACCTGATCATCTGCAGATAAAACTGTCTTCATGTCTCTTTCCTACCATCCTGTTTCTGACTTCCAGCAGTGAGCTGCAGTCAGGATCCACTCAGGGTGGATCAGAGATCCTCCACTGCGGGTCTTTGCTTTACCCTTGGTGCCCACCAGCCGAACATGATAAAGACGCTGCTGGTCATCACAATCATGACCTCCAATGATTCTCTTCTGCAGAGAAACATCTGAATTCACTGAAACACCTGAAGAAGAA